CACTGGACAAAATCCCCATTCGTCATTTGTCATAATTCTCGTCAACTACTGCACCTTGCTCTAATAAAAATTTAGTAACTTTATAGTAACTTATAATTTTAACAATAATGGTACGTTCACACTATCTTATGCATGCGCTGTGCATGCATGCAGAAAAATTTGGCCGGTCACACTTCAACAAAATTTAGTAAATGTTTAGTAATTTTCTAGTTACAACCAAAATTTTTTGGAAAATTACTAAAAAGTTACTAAACATTCACTAGATTTCGTTGAAGTGTGACTGGCCAAATTTTTCTGCATGCATGCACAGCAGAGAAGTAAAAGTGCTTTTCTGAAGGTTTTCTACGTATTGGCGATTCAAACAGCTACACTAGCGCCACAGTTGAACTAACGTAAGCGTAACTTGCTTTGTATCACTCAATGTGTTCTAAATTATTTTTCTTTATTTAACGCTTAAAAATTATTTTACAAACGGAATAAAAATATCAGAATAATTAAATAATTTGAAATAAACTGTCAAAACAGAGACTGTTTCAGAGCGAGTCACGCTTACGTTAGTTCAACTGTGGCGATAGTGTAGCTGTTTGAATCGCCAATAATACATAAATGACGTATTATTCGTATAATACTGTAGAAAACCAGGTTTTCGACATTGTAGCCGCATCAATGACAACATAACCTCTTTTTGTTATTTACTTTCTGGTTTATTGTTGATAAATAAGTATTAATTACTATATAAAATATTTAAATATTGGTCAAATGAGAACTTTCAGTTGAGTTAAATAATAGTTTCTTATTTGCAATAATTTCGTAAAAAATTTTAACATTTTAAATGTTCTTCCGTTCTCAATTTTGAAGAGAAATACTAATATAATTTAAATTTTATCAAAGCATCGATAATTAATTTTTGCCAATATCAGAACTTTTGAAAATTGGAAATTCGAAACAAGCAGATTTAGGGTTATGTTTCTCAAAATTAGAAAACTCATGTATTATAGGTGTATATTCAGTGATGGGTACGTATAATACATGACGTATAATACATGACGTATAATACGTGGTTTTCTACGTGTATAATACTACGTATATTACGTGCCAAGTTTTCTACACGATGTATATTACATTTGATCACGTGATTTAAGAGCGGCAATTTTAAATTCTTCATTAAAATACATCATTCATTACACTTTCCCAGGGCAAACCCTCTTTAAAAGATTTTCTTTTACTTTTTCTGACCATTTCTATTTTATTTTAAGACTTTAATTTAAATAGAATGATAAGAAAAATTCGTTATGGCAAAAATCAGAGGATCATATATAGATGTCAAAATGTCAGTGGTTTTCTACATGGTTTTATACATTTTATACGTATATTACGTCGAAAACGTATTATACGTACAAAACTTCGTGTGACGCGTCACAACCCATCACTGTGTATATTACACGTAAAATACCTTGTATTATACTCGAGGTTTTCTTCGTACCCATCTCTGATGCACAGTGCATGCATGAGATAGTGTGACCGTACCCTAAAGCAGAGATGGGTACGTAGGAAACCTCGAGTATAGTACAAGATATTTTACGTGTAATATACACGTATAATACATGAGTTTTCTCTACATGTGACGCTCCACGTGAAAAGGGACCTAGCGCGACAAAACAGAATTATACAGGAAAGGCGTTTAAAGTCGAACGTTCTGATTGGCTGAGAGGCGCCAGCGAATATCAGCCCCACTATCTTACTACTACATTGTTCCTACGTCTCACGGATACAACAAGTATACTAGTAGTAGTGGTGGTGGGGATGGTTTCCGTAGTCCGTGCTGGAACGCGATTGATATGGTCATGTTTAAAGCTTTATTACAAAAAAAGTAATTAGAAAAATATTATTTTTGACATTTCTATATGAAAGAGCAACTCAAATACTATTGATTCGCATATAAAACTGGAAATTAATTTTTTGTCGCGTTAGGTCCCTTTTCTCGTGGAGCGTCACACATGTGTATTATACATAAGGCTAATTTTGAGAAACATAAAGGTGCTCTTATACCTTAAATTTCGATCAGATGAACATTATTTCTGGACCGTGAAAATGCGTGAAAAGTCATTTTCACGGCGGGTATTTTTCAATTGTTTTAAACAAAAAATGTTTTTTTAAGAAATATAATATTAAATAATTGTTTTAATATGTTAGAACACTTTAAAATAGTGATAGAAAGATGATTTGATTGAAAAATTTAGCAAATTTTGCTTTAAAACGTTTTCTGCTACAAGAAAGTGTAAAATGACGATGTTTGTGAAATGGTTTGTACAGTGCTTCTTCCTTGTGAGTGTCTCTCAGAGTTTTGTTTATGTTATGTCGGTTCATTTTAACTTGTAATAAATAATGAGTGCTGAAAATAAATCGGTAAGTTGAAATGTTTATCAAATAAATTTAAATTCAACTAATTGTTTCGAATAACTGAAAGAAACTTAATATACAGAAAGTATTTGAGAGATGCGTGGAAAATTGATTTTTAACCTCAAATTCATACAGATACGTTTTGTGTTTTTAAATATCAAGTTTTATAATTACTTATGATTTTCATAAGTAATTATAATTAATTTTCGAATCAAGTAATTGAATTTAAAGTTACTTAATAATCATTTCAACTTACCGATTTATTTTCAGTACTCATTATTTATTACAGGTTAAAAAGAACCGACATAACATAAACAAAACTCTGAGAGACACTCACAAGGAAGAAGCACTGTACAAACCATTTCACAAACATCGTCATTTTACACTTTCTTGTAGCAGAAAACGTTTTAAAGCAAAATTTGCTAAATTTTTCAATCAAATCATCTTTCTATCACTATTTGAAAGTGTTATTACATATTAAAACAATTATTTAATATTATATTTCTTAAAAAAACATTTTTTGTTTAAAACAATTGAAAAATACCCGCCGTGAAAATGACTTTTCACGCATTTTCACGGTCCAGAAATAATGTTTATATAATAAATAATAATAATTAAATAATTTTTCTATCATTATCCTGAGTTACGAAAAATACGATTTACACTGGTTCTTTTATGTAAACACCTTTATTATTATGAACTGACCTTTATGCGATTAGAGCGCAGCGCAAAAAGACTAGAATAAGGAGGTCTAACTCAGGTAGTGGGGGTATGGTAAGTATACGTATGAAATTGGTAGTTGCAGTAGGCGGATTTTCGAGAAAGGCAGAGTGTGCGGTAGACTTCTGCGCATACCAATACATAAGGTTATTCAAGTTGGGTGGGGGAAAGCCAAGCTGGTGCACAAACATCCGGTCTATCAGCACACATTTCCACGTATTTCTCGTGGGAATGAATGCTGATAGGCTGATAGGCCGGATGTTTGTGCACCAGCAATCATCCATCTTGGCTTTCCCACACCCAACTTGAATAACCTTATACAAGTTTCAGTAATTCTTGACAAGGCAACAAAAATGTATATGTATTGGTATATGTATATATCTTGGCTCGCGACTTTCATTTCAATAGCAGACAGCATTCGAGATTTATAGAGTGGAACCAATGGAATTTAATGTTTAATGTTGAAATTTTTGAAATGTTAAAATTAAGTGTTTAATGTTAATTTTAATTTAAAGTTATAATCAATGAAACTAAACTATACTTTTATAAACAGGTTGAGAACCTGGAAAAAGTCTAATTTAAAATTGTTATCATTATTATTTTTTATTTGTTAAAAAGCAGAACATGATCATTCGATAAATATATCAAATTAGTTTACTTTTATTAATCAAGGAAGATACAAGTAAGATTTTCATTTGATATAAATATATATGTTTGTCCAGTCAACTATAGTAAAATAAAATTAATTTAGGTTATAAAGTGTGATAATGACCACGTGCACTGAAACGAGAAAAGAATAGTTTAAAACGGTGTATTTTTCCTTTAGAAATTTGTTGAAATGTGTTATTAATTTTTAATGTAAGATTTTTAGCTTTTTTTAAAATATATAATTGATTAAATTATATAAATCTTGGGGCGATTTTATTGGTTAGATTTTACACTGGGAAATTGTACATTTTAAAATATAATTGTAAAACACTTCTATGAGAAATATTTATTTTAAACCTTATACATCAAAATTTATCACTGTTAAAATTCTTTTTTTTTAATTAACTTTCTTTTATTAAATTGTACACTACTAAATTTTACAGCGATTAAATTGCATAACAATGCCATGGTATTTTTTCCGTCTACTTTAATTTTGAAGATAACATTTATAAAAATATTATTTTCTTTTATTTGTTTACATCAACTAATAAGTCCGTTGCATGCTAAAAAGAATAAAATATTGTTGAAAAATAATTGAAAGTATTATACGAGATATTTGTAAAAATGGACGATAACTGGGACAACGACGGTATATTAAGGAGAGGGACTGGTGAAATTTCAACTGATCGAAATTAATGTTGTCAATTTGTGTCAATTTTTTTTCTGGCATTATTTTGGATCTAAAATTATTGTGAATTATCAAAATCAAAAAAAAAATTTTTAAATCCATACGATTGATTGTTCAGAATCATGAAAGAAGCCTACAAAAAAATTACCGATAAAAAATAATAAAAATTGCGACTACAGTTTAATGTTTTTTTTTGTTGAAAATATCGAGTTTTATTTTAAAAATTATTAATAAATTAATTGTTTATCAATTTTCCATAGTATATTAGAGTTTTAAATACTCAATATTAATTGAAAAAAAATTGACAACCTAAAACAGCCTCAATTTTAAAAGGTTGAAATTTCAGCGGTCCCTCCAACAAGCCTAATCTACCGAGGTGTGACCGTACCTTTAAAAAGTCGATTCTCAAGAGTCGAGAATCGATTTTTTGCAAGAATCGAATTTGATGGGAAATCGACGACTTACACTCGTGGCCAGATATGCTTAAACATTTTTGTCCTTTTCTAACACACGTGTTGCCATGATAACACATGAGTTAGAAAAGAACAAAAATGTATAGGCATATCTGACCACGAGTGTACCTATCTTTCTAATCAACTCTATAAAACATTTTCTCATGGAAAAATATACAAGTATATGAAGTTGTTTTCGTAAAAACAAAGTTATATTAAATAAATTATGATTATAAAAATATATTTCTAATCCACAAGCACAAGAACTCTGTGTTCAAAACATATTGACTAATTATTGGGCGTTAACAGTATAGTGTTTTATTGTCAAAAATATATTAGTGAAAGTATATTTTTCTTACATTTAATATAAAAAATATTCAATAATTTAATGAAATTAACGTATAGATAATCATTTCTTATCACAAAATGTCTGTTAATATTAAGAAAAATGAGGAATCTTTGATCGCGGCATGGAAGAATGTTGTTGACGATAAGTCATTAACCAACTGGTAAAAAAGTTTTTCATTATTTTGTTTTACATTATTGATTCTTTATGGATAATATTTTTTATTTTTAACAAAATTATCTATACCCTAATGTATACAATTTTTGTTTATCGGCTTTTTTAACCACTGTCAAGAATTAATTGCATTTTAGTATATACAGTATACAGTAAAAAAAAAAGAGTAAGCTATTTTTTTTTATTTTGATTTTAATAAATATTTAATGGTGCCTCAAATTTTTCCATGTATTTTAAATGGGAAAAAACCCTTTTTCGTAAAATTGCTATAAAGAATTTAAAAATCAATATTTTTCTTCTGGATATTTTTATTTTTCTCTTTTCGAAGGTTCAAAGAATAGCAGTAAAACATTTATAAAAATTTTTATTGTTTATTATTTTTTAAAACTTCAACAGAATCTCATAAAAGCAAAAATTGACATATTTCTTTAAAATCGCTTACATTTTTTTTTTAACTGCAACTTTTAATCCTAATTAAATTTAAAAAATCAGATATTATTTATATATTTAAATATTAGTTTTAGATTGTTTAACAGTGTGTCCAGCGGCCAGGAAAGTCAGGGAAATATTTTAGTCAGTGAAAAATCAGGAAATGTCAGGGAATTTAATTAAAAGTCTTGGAACTTTTTAATAATTTGCAAAAAAATGAACATTTTTATGAATTTTTCAAATTTTTTGGTGCAAGAAAAAATTTATAATACTAATAAAATGAAATATTTTAAATTTCTGAAAAATACTTTAAATATTTGCACGTCTCGGATTATACGACTTTTTCGACTATTTCCAACTTTTTTCGACTTATTTTAATAAAATGCGACTTTTTCGACTTTTCTTTTCATTTTTTTTTACAAAATTTTTAAACAAAATACGTTTTTTTTTAGTATAAAATGCAGATCTTCTTCAGATCTTCTTTATTTCAATTATTTAACAAATTTTTAACTAAAATTCTTCACTTAATTAATTATTTTTTAATAACTTTAATGAAATTCATCACAAATTCAATTATTTTAAACTATTTTACAATTAAAATTTTTATGAAATTTAATAATTGTTTAGAATTTAAAAAAAAATTAGCAAATAAAATTACCAAAAAATTTAAATTCAAAATTACTTGAAATTTAATTATTTGCAAAAATTTCAATTATTTTTAATGATTTTTATAATATTCTTCGAAAATTCAATTATCTGAAAGCATTTTGCAATTAAAAAGATTTTTAAGTTCAATTTTTGTGTGTAATTTCTAATAAATCCTTCAATTATTTTCCAAAATTTCAATTGAAATTCAATTATTATCAAAAATTTCAATTGAAATTCAATTATTTTCAAAATTTTCAATTCAAAATCCTTAAAAATTCAATTATTTTCCAAATTTTCAATTCAAAATCAAATAAAATTTAATTATTTTCAAAAATTTCAATTCAAAATCATCTAAAATTCAATTATTTTCAAACTTTTTAATTAAAAATTTCAATTCAAAATTAATTACAGTGAAATTCACGTATATCGGACTCGCATAATTCGGATTCCCGCTTACATCGGATTATTTTCCAGTCCCTTGAAATTTGGTGTACGTGGGTTTCACTGTATTATCAAAATTTTCAATTCAAAATTAACTAAAATTAAATTATTATCAAAAATTTCAATTAAAATTCAATTATTTTCAAAAACTTCAATTTAAAACCTTCTAAAATTTAATTATTTCTAAAATTATGCTTCTAAATTTTTTTTAAATTTAATCATTTCAATTAGATATATCTTTCCGGAAATTCAATTATTTTTAACTATTTTTATAATCTTCTTCGAAAATTCAACTATCTGTAACTATTTTTCAATTAAAAATGGTTTTCAAATTATTGTATCTTTGTCCGCAATTTCTAATAAATTTTTTAGTGAAATCATCAAAAATTTTTAATTAAAACTCACTGCAAGTTCAATTAATTTCAAAAATCTTAATTGTAAATCTTTGAAAATTCAATTACTTTTAAAAAATTTTATCTAAAATTATTTGATAAATTATTTTTAGTTCTGTAAAATTTAATTATTGTCTGAAAATTAACAAAATCTTTTGAAATTTAATTATTTCTAAAAATTTCAACATTAACTCTTCCAAAATTATTATTATTTAAAAATCTGTAAAACTTTTTTGTTAAAATAAAAAAAATCTACTTTTTTGATTTTTTGTAGTTTAGTTTAGTTTGTTAACGGCATAATACACCTTTTTTACAGTATAAGTAGTTGAATATATGAACACATATATAAAGGTACGGTCACACGACTTTTGGAAAAATCATTCTTGTCTTTCTCTCTCCTATGACAGAGGCATAAGTTTGTCTCATTCTGCATTTTCTTACTTTTACCAAAAACGGAAAAATGCAAAGTGAGACAAACTTATGCCTCTGTCATAGGAGAGAGAATGACAAAAATGGTTTTTCCAAAAGTCCTGTGACCGTACCCTAAAAGAAAAATATTTGAAATGTAACAGTTTCATATAATATAGTGTGATATAATATAGTATTTTGGAATATAAATCGACTAAAACGACTTTTTTTGTGTCTTAAAGTCAATCCGAGGCCTGTATTTGATACTTTTCATTTTTTTAATATTAAATATTTATTAAAGAAAAGTTGGAAAAACGTTAGGAGAAAGTCAGGGAATTTTATTTTGTACTTCTCGCTGGACACCCTGAAAAAATTTAAAAATCAATATTTTTCGCCCGGATATTTTTGTTTCTCTTCTCAAAGATTCAAAGAATGGTAGTTAAAAACATATTAATAAAAATTTTTATTGTTTATTATTTTTTAAAACTTCAACAGAATCTCATAAAAGCAAAAATTGACGTATTTCTTTAAAATCGCTTACATTCTCCTGTTTTTTTTAAACTGCAATTTTTAATCCTAATTAAATTAAAAATCAGATATTATTTATATATTTAAATATTAGTTTTAGATTGTTTAAATAATTTATAATTTTATTGCTCAAATATTTCTAAATCCCTTTAACGAAATTACGTTGTAATTTGGTAAGTTTTTATCGTTCGGTAGTGTAAAAAGAAAATAATAATTAAATAAAAAAACAATTGTTTAAGTAAATTTTATAAATTTTAAATAAATAATAAAGCTGCAGCAACTAATCAATTTTTTAAAATCGCCATGATGTGATAACAACTGCAAATGTTCTGAGCCCTGCGCAGAGAGAATTCTAATCTTATAGTTCTTATTCATATCTTTTATAATGATTAGTTATATTATTATATTAATAATATAATAATTATTATTATTATTTACGAATTGCAGACAAACTAAAAGTCAAAGCACAATTAGTTCTCGAAACTTTCAACGCACCATAAACTTTGCCTTCAAGGGATTTATAAAATATTTGAGCAATAAAAATCATAAATTGTTTAAACAATTGAAAATTAATATTTAAATATATAAAAAATATCTGATTTTTATTTTAATCAGGATTAAAAATTGTAGTTAAAAAAAAACAAGAGAATGTAAGCGATTTTAAAGAAATATATATGTGAATTTTTTGCTTTTATTATGAGATTCTGTGGAAGTCTTAAAAAATAATGAACAATACAAATTTTATAAAATTTTTTTTTATTGTCATTCTTTGAACCTTTGAGAAGAGAAACAATAATATCCGGTCAAAAAATATTGATTTTTAAATTTTTTATAGCAATTTTACGAAGGGTTTTTTTTACATTTAAAATACATGAAAAAGTTTAAGGGCTATGAGATACTATTAAATATTTAATAAAATCAAAATAAAAAAATGTCTTTTTTCCCTTTAGAACAAAATTTCGGTGCTCATGAATTAATTCGGTAAAATATGTAGGCATTGTAAAGAATATAATCTTTTTATGAAAGTAACACTTTTACATAAAATAAAAATTTACCATGAAATTACTAAAAATATTACGAGAAATACTTAATATGTGAACAGCGTTGCCATGGATCAGGGAAATCGTAGAAAAGTCACAGAATTTTTTGAAAAGTACTAGAAAAATATTAAAGTTTTTAAAAATGTTTCTGAAATTTTCAATTCAAACTCTGTGGCCTACCCCTTCGTCCGTAATGGTTAGAATTATATCTTAATTTCTCCTCTAGATTTATGGGCATATCTTTGAAACCTTTAACTTTTCAATAAGAAAAAAATTTTTTTTTTGAGCACAGTATTGAAACTCTGTCTACATAAACTTCAAGAACTAAGCTTTCCAATTATACAAGTGGACAGATAAAACAAGTTGTCTTCAAAAAGTTATAAATATTTAAAATTGAGAATTATTTTTAACCTGTAACAAAAAAATATTCAACAGGTGTTTGCTTTTTAGGATAAAAAACAGTTGAAGGAAATTTTCTAAGGGGTTATAATTTTAAAAAGCAATAAAATTCGTTTAATATTAATATTATTATTATTTTAATTATTAATATTCAAAATGGCGGACGAAAAATTAAAAATTCATCGGATTCACTCGAAAAGAGTTACTCGGGGTTTCTCTTTTCGAGTGAATCCGATTAATTTTTAATTTTTCGTCCGCCATATTGGATCTGCCATTTTGAATAATAAAATTTTTGAAAATCAACTTCAGATTCTTAATCAGCGATCCCAAAAACCCCCGAGTAACTCTTTTCGAGTGAATCCGATGAATTTTTAATTTTTCGTCCGCCATATTGGATCCGCCATTTTGAATTTTTGAAAATCGACTTTAGATTCGTAATCAGCGACCCCGAAAACCCCCGAGTAACGATTTTCGAGTGGATCTGATGAGTTTTAAAATTATTTGACAATAGCTGCGTATTTGTTATTAAAATCTCAATTTTAATTAACAATATTATTTAGACATTTAGTATTTTTTTTAAATCTATGCCACCATGTCAAAGTTTGAACATTTTTGACGCGATATTTGTATCTCGGGAAGATATTTTAAAATGGTACATTGCCCAAAAAAATTCTTAAGTAAAAAAAAACCTTGAAAATTCATGT